CAACACACAGATAGAGTTATTGCACCAGAAATCATTATGGGTTCGGAAGGATTTTCAAAAACTTCAGTATGAAATACACCGACCCCATCTGGTGATACTAGGAGGTCAATCGGACGGGATAGTTCGTAACTGGAACTATCCTTTAAAAATGTCTCCATGACTAGAAGCGGTATCTCCTGACAGGTGCAGGAACCCACAAGAGCAGACAACAGCAAAGCAAACAAATGCAGTACACCCTCGGATATTCTGTCCGAGGGTCCAAGCGGTTCAGGTTCAAAGGAACCTATAGTGCAGGTCGATGTTACCGGTTTTCGGTATACCAATGCTTGCAGCTTAGGAGGGAATGGGGCGAATTAATGGCCAGACCCCACACAAGTGCCATTATCGGCATCACCGAGACACGGTTGAGGGAGGGCCAGGCGGTCACTGCTCCGCACAATCATATCCGATGCAGGCAGAACAGAATAGACGGTAGGCTTGGTGGCGGGGTACTACTACTGGTAAGCTCAGAATACTGCCAGTGGGAAGCTCCGTTTACCTTAGCCACACCGAACATACAGGCCGTGTCGTGTTATGTTCGACTGAGGCGTAGATCGGTGGGAGTGCTCTGTGTTTACAGGGCGCCGCAGTCTAATAGAACAGAGGATTCTGCATTATTGGCACTCCTAGGTAACATAGTGAGGGAATCATCGTGATTCCTCATAATGGGCGACTTTATTAATCTGCCAGAAATAGACTGGTACAACAAAAGCGCGCCAAGAGGTACTGCTGGTAATGAACTCTTGGACTGGGTGCACCATCATGGACTAAAGCAGCACGTCAAAATACCCACACGATTCAGAGGTGGACATCGTTCGTCAACGTTAGACTTAGTTCTAACTAGGTACAGAACAGACCTCACTTTTCTTATGACGGAAGAACCGTTAAGAAAGGGTGAACATGGGGTACTGGGACTAAAGTTTGCGGCGAGATACGATAGGCCGAATGCTAAGCTAGTAAGAACCTACGCCAGGATCAACGAAGAACAACTAAAGGTAGCTGCACAGAGCATAGGCTGAGTTCCTGTTTCACTTTCACCATCAGTCGAAGAACGATGGATGGCAATACGAGACGGGTTGCTACGATTAACGCAAGAGTTTACTCCCTTGGTGCCTCGCAGATCCAGAAGCAGACCACCTTGGTGGTCGCCTAGAATAAAAAGAGCGCTCCCCTCTTGTAGAAGGTGCTAGGCTTTCTACAAGCTTCACGGAACACATAGTTCTTGGGTCAACTACAAGCTGGACAGAAATAAGGCAAAGACAATGCAGAGGGAAGCTAAGTACGAGTACGAAAAGAAACTAGCTAGAGATATCAAAACAAACCCGGAGAGGTTTTTTACCTATGTACAGTCCAAGGGAACCACACGTGAAAGTGTTGGAACCTTTAAGATGGCGAACGGTANGGTAACATAGCCAGTACAGATAAGGACCGGGCTGAGACGCTGATGGACTACTTCAAAAGTGTCTATCGTTCATCCCAGGGTGATGGAGCTCGGAACCCTATGGTGGATACTATTGGAAACGAACTGCAGATGTTAATCGTAAGTGAGGAGGAGGTACGAACCGAGCTCAAAAGCCTGTGCAAGCATAAGGTGGCGGGCCCAGATGAGATTCACCCAGCTATTGTCCAGCCACTAGCTGAGGTCATACTAGGACCTGACACTGATTTGTGTAAGGCATCACTGACCTCCGGGGTAATGCCAGAGGACTGGCGGAAGGCAACCGTGTTAGCAATATACAAGACGAGGTCTAGACAGAAGGCGGAAAACTACAGGCCGGTCAGTTTAACGTCAGTGCAAGTACTTCAAACGTATAGACAGAAAACAAATATGTGCGCACCTGGTGATTCATGGACTTCTATCTCCTGCACAGCACGGGCTTACCAGGAATAAGTCGTGCTTAACCAATCTAATTATGTTTCTCGACGAGACTACACGTCGATTAGATCAGGGTAGGGCAGGGAGGTATGTTACTCAGACTTCAGCAAGGCTTTTGACTCGGTGATTCTTACGTTGCTGGACACGAAGCTACCAACGTTTGCACCAGACTTCAGCAAGGCCTTAAACTCGGTGAGTCATACGTTGCTGAAGACGAAGCTACCAATGTTTAGAATAGTCGGGTCAGCGCGTCAGTGGCTGAAGCATTTTCTAAACAACCGCAGCTTCACTGTACGGGTTAGAAGCTACACTTCGCGATCAGAGAGGGTTACAAGCGGGGTGCCCCAGGGCTCTGTTCTTGGGCCCCTTCTTTTTCAATAAGCGGGGTGCCCCAAGGCTCTGTTCTTGGGCCCCTTCTTTTTCTTCTATTCATCAACCGATGCACGCTGGAATTGCACAACCCCTGCTTCATCTTTGCAGACGATGTGAAGATAGCCGGTGAGAACTTAACCCAGGACCTAGATGCAGTTCGCAGCTGGTCGGATCGATGGGATTTATCCTGAATCTTGCCAACTATCAGCTACTGACGAACAGTGTAGACTCAACTGGGGACGCAGCGCTACGAGGCACGACAGAGGTGAAGGACCTAGGAATGATTGTCACAAAGGACTTCCGGCCTACAAGACTGCAACTAAAGCAATAGGAATACTCTCCAGGCTGCGGACCACAGTTACATGCAGGAAGCCAGAAGTGTTCGTTCCGCTGTATAAGGCAATGATACGTCCACGTCTGGAATACTGCGGGCATAGAACTAAGCAGCCGAATCGTTCCTGCATCAGAGTACGGCACTAGAGGTCA